ACTAGACAGGTACATGCTAGTGAAACCTACCTTCTTAGTATCCGGAGTGCGGACTGCTTTGAAGTAGTGCCCAATATTCTACAGAAAGTTCTTGAGTTCTTTAGCATTATGACTGCCTGTGAAAGGCTTAGGGTCAGGCACTTTAGCTTTCTGAGTGCTTTCACTGGTAGGAGCCAAAGAGGCATTCTGCAGTGCCTTCTTGAGCACTGAAACGTCTGTCTCGAGGGAACTCAATTTTTATCCCATATTATCGGTCCATGTGGAGACCGTAGCTAGCACGTCAACGACTTCGTTTTTTACTCGACTGAAGTGATTAGATTCAGTCTTTTGAAGCTGTTCATGTGCAACACGCATCTCTTCAAACCGCTGATACAACAACTCAAGTTGCACAGAGAGAGCCATAGCATCACCGGATTGTGGAGGACCAACCAACTCCTCTAAATGTGCCACTCTTTCTCTCAGATCAGCATTCGCTCCGCCAACCATAGTTGATCTTTTGCCAAAACCACGCTCTGATATCAAAAATGTCACGGGGTAACTTTCGTTTTTCTTTCGAGGTCACCTGTGAAGGCGTTGCTATTGCAACCAGCCACACACAAACTCAAGAATAAGGGACAGAAACTCACACAGAAGGCACACACGAATTTACTGGGACAAAACTCCCAAACCTTATATATTGAACTCAACAATTTACAAGAAACTCTCAAAGCTAGAACACTCTCTCTTATCAGAATGCTCAAGCACCCCTATTTATACAGGAGTAAGGCAGATGACACCTCCATCAGCCAAGGGGTAGTTACACACGTTTTTGTTATTCCATAGCATACTTGGCTAGCGGGCTTGGTCTCTGTGCGACACCTGACAGACAGTTCCACCCCTTTCAGTAACTAATGTGGAACTGCCCTTCATCAGCATGCATTTGGACTGGATTCAGACTAGGGACGCCCAAAACGGCCTCAGCAACTGCCTTGACTGTGTCTCTGCATCTGCAATTGCGCACATCCTCCTGGTCACATACATTGAGCAGCTATGTGCCAATCATGTGCCCACATTCAGCAGCAAGCCTTGCTTCACGAACCAATGTGGGTTCAACCCATGCCATGCAATCCGAAGCTATGCATCCACATTGCTTCAATTGAGCCTACTACGTGCTGTCATGCTCAACTGGGTAGTCTCATGCTGCCTTGGTTCACCCCAATCTGTCGAACCACTTAGTTGCGTCACCTTGATTCCAACTTATGGCATGCCTTGGTGCAAGGTGCCACCAAGACCGGCCATTTGCACCCAAATCAGTTAGGGTGTGACATAAGTTGTTTTGGTAAATAAAATCAACTTTATTCATTGGAAGAATTAACATTATAGAAAAAGGGGGAAAGAGGAACAACACCTTAAAGAAAGCAGTACAAAGTCGATAATACCAATTAGGAAATTGCAGTTCTAATCAATACAACTTGAATAAAACAAATTCAAATTAACACACTACATAATTAGACATTCAAAGCCAATGAAAATTTTGAGAGTTGAAATTTAGATGATGAAATGCATGTAAAAAACGAAAAGTAACATGAATTCAAACCATGGATATCGATAAAAAAGAACATTCTCCAAGGGTAACTCAATTGATGGCATTTATGTTTTGTAATTTAGTGTAAAGTGATTTTGTGATCTGATTTCATTTCCCAACCTTCTCATATTGGGAATCACTTTGGCCATATTACTATGTTAATTTTGACAGCTTTCCTTGCCATCCCTGTAATTGTACTACTATATGTCTCGTTGTAATTGTACAATCAGGCTTCCTCTGGCTTTTTCTCAACCTATTGTTAGTTGTTGATATCTCGCAAAAAAAAAAAAACATTGTAGATATTTTAGCCAACATTTTGAGCAATAATTTCAAAAATCAAGATAAAATCTAAAAAGAACCACAAAAAAGCCACAAAAACAGAGTTAATTACAATCTTAGAGAAAATAAGAAATAATGGGAAATACTCCTAAATTGCAATGTGAAGACCAAATTGTCAAACCATAGCAAAACAAAAAAAAAATTATAAAGATTGCCTTTTGTGTCGCTTTGTGAATTGGGGCGTGAGAGAGAGATATAGAGAGTTCAGCCAAAGAGAGAGTACTGCGTGTGAGCCGCTATGTTGTGTTAGTTGGCGTTAATCGGGGGCATGAGGGAGAGAAAGTTGTGTATGTGTGTTGTTTGTGTAAGTGAATTGGGGCAAGAGAGAGAGAGTTAGGACTAGCGTGTATGGAGGTATACTTGACCAATTGGGATTTGCGTGATATTAGAGAAGGAATTGGGAGAATTAATATTGAGATGTCAATTTTGAAAATTAAATTTTGAGCAGTTAAAAAAATTCAAGAATTAATTTGGTACGTCGGATTAAAATGATCTGAGGCATGAAAAGATTGAGATAGCGTTGTTCGTCAAGTGAGGCCTTATTTTATCACGAAACAATCTCTGTTATTTTTTTTCTTTGGATTCGTACTTCGCTCTATTTTATTATATAAATAATATTTTTCAACATTGGATATGAGAAGGATATGCGATTCAAGCATTTTAAGATGCACAATGATATGCAAAGACATAATTTATGATTGCTTATTTTTCAAATAGGTCATCGAAGAGAAAAATTGAAGTAGATGAAATAAGAATTTTTCAAAACAAAATATAAAAGTTTTTTTGCTAGAATAAAATTTGAACCAATACCCTTTCTATATTTTGCCATTTTTCTAAGGTATTAGAGTTGACCAATCTAAAGTGAAGGCTAGAGCTGTTTTTTTAGATGGGTTACCTATAATATCAAATATTTTTGATCAATTAGGATTTCTTTCTCAGACCATCTAGTGCAATATAAAACCATTGTATCTATATCAAACAATACCCAAATCCATATGCTATGCATGATCTTTTGCATATAAGACAAATGTTTTTGTGTTCCTAATATGTGCTGATTTGTTCTACTTAGAAGTTGTTTTCTTTCCGGTATCATTTTCAACAAGGTAAATTTTCCTTTTCTTGTTGATATTCCATTTGGTTCATGGGTAGGAAGAATTGTTGTTTAATTTTTAGATTCGTAGTTGAGGAAGTATTGATATGGGTACAGATACGGGTACAGGGATGAGTATTATACCATAATAGTATGGTGATACAACAAAACCTAAAAAAATAGGAGGAGATATGACTATGACACTTCTACAATAAAATACATTTCATATTTTTACCATTATATGGTGATTATTGTTTTTAGTAAATTCTTTAATAAAAAGTTGAAAAATAATCAACTGTTATTTTCAAGCCATATGGATTTTTCTTTGTGTATATCATTATGTGTGAGTTATAAGGAAAGGATATCGGTTGAAACAAAAAGTTTTATAATTCCTTTGGGTATTTACTTACATGTGCAAGACGGATCTAAAAATCGACAAATACTTCACTAATTACTAATTAGTGCATAGGTATGATGCGCATTTGATACGTCCTTAAGTATAGGATGAATAGCATTTCTGATATGGTACTTTGACGTTAACCGAGTATCCGTGCCTCAGAGTTCGTAGTAGACTTCTTGCTTTTCAAGCAACACCACTAAGCTTGTGGTATTTTATCCATCTGAATGTAGGATGATGTCTTCCTCTGTCCTTAAAGGGACCTGATGATTTTAAGCATTTAGGTGGAATAGGTGCTTGAGAATCAACTAACCCAGGTTTACTCTGTATGTTATTTCCTGATTCCAATCTGCACAAAAATCCTGATGTTTGCAGAGTATATAGTATCATTTAGACAAAAATAGCTTTCTTGAAAGTATTGAGTAACATGTTGCTACATTATCTGTGTTTCAGGTGTGACTCCAGTTTGTGGTCTTTCTTTTTCAAGAAATGATACTTACATTTTGTTGTGTGAACTTTGTTTGTAACTTTCAATGTGGGGTTGCATGCCTCTGTTGTCCCAGGGATTTTAAAAGCATAGAAATGTACACATTTTTCAAGTTGCTTAGAAATCTGGATTTCTATCACTTAAGAGATGCTTACTGTCATATATTGCTATATTGTACTATTGTACCATATATTACATGGATTTGTCTTTCTCTTTATATATAAAACATGAATCATTCCATTAAGTAGTCCAATCTCAGTGACTAAAGTGACTTGTTGGGAATTGAAATATCTTTTGCGTGTTCGTTGTTTTGGTAACCCTTTGGAGCTGCATTTAAGATGAAGTTGTGGCATCATGTAGTTTATAGTGTGCTTATCAAGAAAGCATCTCCCTCCCCCACTGTTTCTCTTTCTTTCTCCCTTGTGTATGTGTTTGGGAAAGCATGATTATCAATGGTGTATACCAGGGTTTGTTTCTCGTCAGTTTGTTTGACCATGACTTGTGATCTGACTGCTCCTTTTTTGTGCAGTTCTATATGTTGCAGGACAGAAAATAAGATCAATTGAGTGCACTAGTTCTCCAATACCGATTCAAGTTTAAAAAATGAGGTACCTTCCATAATCCCTGCCTATATATCTACTTGTTGAATATTGGAATCCACTTAAAATGCATTGCATGTACTGAAACAACGGGCTATCTACCTTTCTGGATTAGCAGTAAAAGATCCTTTCTGCTGTTGATATCCTGTGCCATTTGTGCTGCACGGATGGAAACTATTTTAAAGCATTTTTCAAGTTGTCCTCCTATATTGTCACAGAACATATGTCCTGCTGATTCTTTATGCTGTCAGTCGGGTTTCTCCAGTATTTTATTTGAGATGCTACCATGCTGAGTTTCCATTTTTCTATTTGCATTTTTCCTGGTTTTTGCTGCTACGTTGCAATTGTGTTCAACCAAACAACAATGTGCATATAGATTGCACCTGTCCTTCATCAAAACAAGTATAGTTACTTCTATTTAGGCATTTGTCCATCTAAAGTGTGGTAATAATATATTGATAGCAGAGAGCACCTGAGACGAGCTGTGCTTTTCTTTTATTCCTTATAATGTTGACTTTACACAGATGACTGGTTGTTTTAATTATCTCTCACATGCCAAAGTTGATTGCATTAATTATGTCATATTTAAGTCTTTGTTCTGAAATTTCTTGTAAACATAACACTTCTCACTGATAGAAGCATAAGTTTTGGCCATGGGACCTTTTGTTGCTGAGAATCAATTAACATGCTTCCATAGTTGTAGTCTGCTGCATTATCACCCAAAAAAAACTTGGATCAAGAGACTGGTGAAGTTTTTGGTACTTCTGGATGAAATATTGTACTGTACAAATGAGAAATTACCCCAACTTTGTAGTTCGTGCCTGCGTTTCTTGGTTTTGTTGCTGAGGCTGGCAAAGCTGGAGATGGACAGGTACATGGGGATCCTCTCCAATGCTTAGACCATTTGTGAGCTGGGCATTTCTATTTGCTTCATTGACATCCCTTCTTCCATACACCTGGGATGTAGAAACGTTAGAGGTGAGTTTAAATCCGTGGAAAAGCTCATATCTTCACACTGGTTTACTGATTCAAAGAGTAGTTCGGTTTTTATAGCATATTTGAAGCTTATGTTCAGACACTTGATGGGATAGGTTACCTTCTTATACAGTTCCACATTTTCTTGGTGAATGAGGTTTCCCTGCAACAAAGCCAAATAAATTAAGCTTCCTGAAAATATCTTCTTTCAGAGAAGAAAAGAACAATCAGTGGTGATTTTCCAGATTGACCTTTCGATTTAGCTCCTCTATTTCATCAATCAAAACTTGGTCCTACAAAATTAGAAGATTATGTTAATGCAAGTGGCACAGGATAGAAGATAATAAAACATGAATTGCGTAGACAATGGGAGCTTCAAACCTTTTTCATACGCACACCCCGGAGACTCATTTCCAGTTGGTTTTCCAAGTTCTGTAAATCTTTCACACTCAAACCAGAAAGCTCTTCACCCTTAATTTGCCTGTAAATTATCCAAAGTTTATGTGGAATGAGGTAATAAAGGAATTTAGTGTATAATGCAATAATTTAGCATCCTTGCCTCCTCGGTGAGGCATGAGATAATAGAAAACCGTTTCTTCCAACAGTTGAATATTTCAGTCTGAGAGTTTATACAATGTCAAACCACTTTATCCTTTTAACGTTTGAAGGAGTTGACTACCTCTAAATCAATATCTTGCATGTTACACTCCATAAATTAATGGACTGATTCTTGATCTTTCCTTGTGTTAGCGTCTGAAGATAGGATTGGAGATATGCTTGGGTGAAAAATTCCATTTAGTCAGTAGCTACCCTTGGAATGTACTTGTTTTCTAGGGTTGTGTACATTGGTAATTGACTGTCATTGCAATTAGGGCTATAACATAGTGTTGAAAGGTGTTCAAGTAGACTTTCATGGCTGCAATCAGATTCATGTTGGTTAGGTGAATACAATGGACACCTGTTTTGTGATGTGCTTCCTAAAGTGAAGTTGAACATTTATTGGTCATAACATGACTATCTTTCATTCTTAGCTTGGTTTAAGAACTGGACCAAATTTTCTTCTTTGGGCAACCAGATATGGAATTGGTCTTCTTTTCAGATTTTGTGGTGGCAGAGGCAAGGTTATCACTGTTGTAGGATAAGGCACAAAAAAGCTTAGAATTCGAAAACTTGTTCACTATTGCTTATATTGTGAGGGTTTGTAATGGTGGCCAATATTAGGTTATTTGTTTTGTGACAGTAAGTAGGGTCTTTTGTAGCTTTACCTTGTGCCCAATATTTATAGACATCTTGAGGGTTAGTAGTTGAGGACAATATCCCTTTCGTAGTTTGTGGAAATTATAAAGTTTTAGAGTTAAAATAAGAAGATGTGCGAAAGAATTGGATAAGAATTGTGTGAGACGAGGAAGGATTTTGTTTATCCCCACCTGTCACTCTAAACTTATATTTATAGGTCTCACAATAAAGTAGAAAATGACACAGTATACCCATGTGTGGTATACTTATTACAACTACATATAAATTATATTTCTTAACACTTCCCATCAAGCTAGAATATATATCATATAGTCCATGCTTGAAACAAATGACTATTAGATGTCTTCGATTCAATGTCTTAGTGGATATATCTGCAAGTTGATCCTCAGATTTTCCAAATGGTGTAGAAATGTTCTTGGTTAATATTTTATCCTGATCAAAGTGACAATCAAACTTCGATTTGTATAGTTTTCTCGTGGTTGGCAACTATGCGAAAGGTTACCTGGTTATCACAAAATAGCGACAAACTTGGTTTCCTATAACAACACTGTTCTCATGTCCGATACCTGCAAACCTTCATTATCCTAAGATCATTAATTACAAGGAGTGATCAATTTTCCACTGTAACACAAAACAGAAAATTCTGGCACAAAGACCTCGATTAATCACGGCTAGATATGGTCTATGAGTGTCAAGACAGAATAAAATATAGAGGAAAGGAAAGAGGAGGGGCAATAAAAATCTAGATAAAACCTCAAGAATGAAGTTTACAGTTAAAATAAGAAGACGTGCGAAAGAATTAGGGAAGAATTGTGTGAGAGGAGGAAGGATTTTGTTAACCCTACCTCTCAACTCATATTTATTGGTCTCATAATAAAATAGAAAATGACTCGTATATCCATGTGTGGTATACTTATTCCAATAACATTCAAATTATGCTACTCTACTTAACAGCAACAATTAGGGTGCCTTCGATTAAAGTGGTATTTTTGTTTCTTACCTGGTCCCTATTATATTTGGATATCCTAACGTTTGCCTGTGTGTTTACATAGGACAAATATATATGTTTGTTTTCTATGCTTGAAAGTTACCTTCTATGATATGAATCAGATAACACGAGTCCTTGAGCATCATTATATCATGAATTATAAATCACATAACTGAAAACAGAGAAGGTTAATCAATTTGTTTAAGATCGTGTAGCAAATAATGCATATTACAATTTTTCATTGCGCAGTCTTTGATTAGAAAATGGAAAATTCCTTTGGCCCTTAGGGATGGTCATCGGAGTTGCATCGGTGATTGTCAATGCGGAGAATGTTTATGCGAAAAGGGATTTTGATTCTACATTTTTATTCCTCGATGTTATTTGTTGTGTCTCTTAGTTTGAAGACTAACATGATAAGTTTATGTCATTAAGAGAAATAATTTTACCGATGATTCTCTTGCAAGTTCTGCAGTTGTTGCCTCAACATTGCTGCCTCCTTTTGCCACAACTGTCAAGTACAGTGGCATGTAAATGCTTCAGATCAGTGTGACTAGATGAAAATAATAAAATAGTATTGCTAGATGATAACATTTTCTAAAGTCAATGCTTTCCTCAAGGTTAGTAAAATTTGTCATTACTGTAATTAGAAGATTACAAATGGAGAGAGTTCAAAGGAATGACAAATGGCAAACAACCCATACATGGTTTGTGACTACTTTATGTCCGGCTGCAAGTGCAACCGTGGGGAAAAGGACGCAATATTACCTGTTTTCATATACAAATCATACAATGTTGCAAACTTACTATGAGTGTACAGGAGATGTGGGTGATATGTTTTGATTGACAATACTGTGCAAAACACTGTGCGAGACAGGTGCAATACTAGGAAAGCTTTGTGGATAGTTAAATGTCTTGCATAAATATATTGCTCTAAGAAAAGATTGTTTTACACTCAAAAAAAAAAAAAAAAAAAAAAGAAGCAGTATGCCCTTGTTTTTATACCGTGCTTTGCATACCATGTGTTGCAGGTTAGGATTAACACATTCCATTAGAACCTAGAAAGAACGGATACGGACATGGGTGTTGTATCCAATACGATACAAACATAGGGATACGAAAGTTCGAAAATATAAAAAAAGGGTACAACAAGGATATGACTATTAAAATAATATAATATATATTTTTGATAGTAATAGAATTATAATATATTAAAAATAAAAGCATATATTATAACAATATTAATAATAATAAGATTTAACAAATATTTGTTTTTTGATTAAAATTGAAATAATCAAAATAAACACCCTTCATTTTCTTCAAACATCAATACTTCTATTAGCATTCATAGTATATATGTTATATANTGTTTTTTGATTAAAATTGAAATAATCAAAATAAACACCCTTCATTTTCTTCAAACATCAATACTTCTATTAGCATTCATAGTATATATGTTATATAGAAATTACTCCCAATTCTCGGTTGTGTCCTAGTTGTATCCAATTGAGTTAACTATTTAGGACATTTCAAACCGTGTCAGACATGTGTCTTGCCATGTTCGACTCATGTCCATCACATATCCGACCCATGTCCACATACATATCCAACACTTCCACGGTATCCCTTTGGGAAATATCTGTGCTTTCTAGATTAGGACACACATGCTCAATATGAGACTAGGACTTCACCTTTTAAAAGTCGGCTAGCCTTTTAGACAAAGATCCTCTTATCTATGCTACAAAGATGACATGATGTTAGATAAGAATCACAAAGATACCAATAAGTATGAATGATGGAATGTTTAAATTTTAATTTTTTCAGTATATTTTTTTCGTTGTTGAGGATTCATGTTTTTCCTCTCAATGTCTTTTTGAGGTTTCTAAAAGTCCATAGTCCTATGTGATATCCCTTTTGTGGGTTAGTAGTTTATATTAAGATATCGAGTTTATAAAAACATGCTAGGTAGACTATGAGAAATCATTTACTGATTTCCATTGGACCCCAATATTTCAAAATTGGGCAGTGGTCTTTTTTCATTGAACTCACTTTATACAACAGGAGTCAATGTTAAAGCTTTGTTGTACTTGTACCCTAGTCTGATTGATAACTACTCATGCTGACTTTTGGCTAAGCTCCAAGAGTTATGACCAAGGAATTTCAGCTTTAGAAGTTGGACATAAGTATGAAGATGAGGTGGCTTTTGATACGAAGTTGATGCTATAGATGCTGAAGATGTTATACGAGAGAGAATTCATGCAGAAATTGAGTTGGTTGGATATTATAACTGATCTATCGTAGATAAGGTTGTAGACATCATAACAATCAATAAATTATGAGGGTCATCTTATTTTTGCTTTCATGACATTGGTGAGGGTGATTCCTTCTAGGTGGAAAATCAGCTTTTAGGTTGCTTGGGATGTAAAAGGCCTTTAGCTCATGTGTGTGGTAGAGTGTTGTAAAAAGCGAGCCTAGGCGAGAAGACAAGCGAGCGAAATGAGCCTTGAACATCCAAGGCGAAGCGAGAAAAAAACGAGTTTAGGCGACGATGCGAAGAAACGAGCCAGGTGAGAAAAGCAAACGCCTACCTGCCGTTTTTTTATTTTCTCCTGCTCCTCCTCCTTCTGTAACATTAACCAAACCCTAGTAGAGATGATGTTATATGTGTATATGTATAAAATAAATTGATTGATTCGTGTAACAATATCATATGACAATCTATCTTATTATGATTAGATAATGTTGAATGCTCTTGTTAATCAATTTGTTTGGTTAATCAAATTGATTAATCAATTTGCTATATGCTCTATTTGATTAATTTATTTGTGAGTGCTTTGTTTAGTAGTGATATTAAAACCCACATTTGCTAATTTTACATTTTGATGATATGATTATGTTAATTGATTATTTTTAGAATATAATATTGTTCAATATTTAATATCTTGTCTATTTAAAATATGTTGATATTTATTATTTTGATCGCATTTAAATATTTTATATTTATAAAGTTAAAACTTGAATATTTAAGAGTAATCAAAGTATGAAACTAAAATATTTGCTTATTTTTTATATTGTTCGCTTCGCTTTTCGCCTAGGCCTTCAGGAGACCGGTTCGCTTCGATTCTCTTTACGCCTTAAATAACACTGGTAGGTACAACATTATGCCATTACTTGATGGGATGGTAAAATAAGCAGGATTCGTGGGAATTTTATATGTTTTGATGGATCTATAGCGATGTTGCCCATATGAGTTGCCCTTTCTTTCAATTTCTTAGTGAGAGATTGTGGGCCCTCAGTTCGTTTCTTCACCACTTCCTACGTAGATAAATGATAAAAATTGAATCCTTCATCCAACTTTTCTCTTTAAATGCCAAACCTCAGTTGCACCATTATGCTGGGAGAGCCTTGAACCTCTTTGACGAAGGCTTTTTTAATCGGGAATGGTACCTTAATGGGGTTTAGAGCTGAACTTTAAAGAATGAAATAATGTTCAGCGATGGTTATAGTTGGGCTAAATAACAAACCAAGGGTCCGAATACCAGTCCTTTGTTTGTGCAGCACATGGCCTATGGTTGAAATGGACGGTATACTTGTCATTTTTTGAATGAGAAAATTCTTTTTTGTATGTGATGTGAAATCTAGATGTGAATTCTGGCAGTCGTTCAAACATACATCCGTTGCTTTGAGATTTAACAGGCTCTCAAGTCTAGAACCAGTGAGTCTCCATTATAAGGAAATTCCACTTTTCAAAGTGAAGCGAAAAAGTACACACTATGAAACAAAATAACTTTCTGGTATGCCTTTGTCAATTTGAAGCTAAAGTTATGAAGTAAATGGAGGATTGGACAACTTACCTTGACCTCAGATGTTGGGTTTGCCAATTGTTGGTGTTCCTCTTTTGATTTGTTGTACCGTTCGATCACTGATTTCATGCTGCTAATAGTTGCATCAGATTTTGTAGATATGTTCTAGAATATTACAATATTTTAAATATTGTACTGAACTTCATAATAATATGTCAAGCATCACTACACAAAGATCGAAAGCTTAAACAAGATCATCACGTTGTAACAACAATACTAAGTCATTTTCCATTTTCCACTTTCCACATGAATAATGAGTTGCACTGGCTCACAATCCTTTTCAATCATTGTTTCAAAAAATAGCTTGACAACTGCTGCAGTGATTTAATTTTATTATTGTCTTCTAAGTATTGATATAGTTTTGGGGAGAAAGGGGGGTGGGATTCAATCTGTTCGTAAGTTGAAGCTGAGCCATCATTTTGTTATAGTTGTTTTCCCTAACATTACTGGTATTGTAGCTGGTAGAAGTTCTAGTCCGATGTATATTATTAGTGGAGTGGACTATGTAGCCTTTTTTGTGATTGATTGTGTGTTTTAAGTTATAAGCCAATTGATCAATGTGATTCAAGCACTAAGATCCCCACTATCATGTATCTTGTATGATATTTTAAATGGTTTGGTATTGCTCGAATTGCTCTTAGTTCATCCTTCAGATCTTCCAAATAATGGTAAGGGAGTGGATCGCAACATGTGGCTTACAGTGGTTTATTGTTTTTTGTTGGTGCTGGCAGGGAGGACAATTCTACATATTCTTGAGTGAGGGCGAGAGAGTAGATGGTCCTAATTTTCCTTTTCTGTAAAGCTGGCTTCCTTGTGGAGGGAATAGTTATGCAATTTCATGGTTTTGTAGCCTTCCAGCTTTGGTGGAGAGCTTCTTCATAGGTAAATTGAGCAGTTCACTTAAAGAATAACAATTGATTATGCATAACCAGCATTTCCACAGTAATTATGCAAGCTAAGCAAAGGAAATGTCGCTGACATCATTGGAACTTCAAAATTTTGTCTCTGTGCAAGAAGTGTGTGGAACCTAAGAAGCAATATCCAATACAAGCCAACACATAGTTTGGGTGAGAGTAGAAGGGGATAACAAGGAAAAAGGACATACCCAACAAACTACGAAACCTCGACAATTAAAGTTGGCACAAAATGTGTATTATTATGAGGACGTTGGATCATCTTAATTCTCCAGTAGACAGTAACAAAAGGAATATCTTGTATTATATACAACTCCATTGAGAAGGATAACCCAAGTGTGGGTTTAGAAGAATTCGAAAACATACAATTCTCTTCCTCATAGACAACAAATAAAGAAAAACTTAGAAGGATAATCCAAGTAGGGGTTTAGAAGAATTTGAAAACACACAATTCTCTTTCTCATAGACAACAAATAGAGAAAAACTCACTCTTCTTCTGCTGTTCCTCTTCCTCATCATTTTCCCCTATTCAATTTTGCTATGAGAAAAAGTTTGGCTTTCAATAGGGTGGATTGGTGTATGTTAAATGTGCAAGTAGCCTATGACTATTGGTAGGTTTTGGATACTATGGTGATCAAGTATTCCTAGTTTGGGCTAAACTTTTGATCAAATATAAGGTGTGGTGAAAGCAAAGAGGACTACTTAGAAGAACTCTTCTCTGTCAATGTTTTGAATTGTGTACTATGGAAGGCCGACATTGCAGCTTTGATGGTTCCACCTAAAAAACCTAAAAAACCCGTGATGATTTTCCTGTTTATGTGATCAAAAGATGCATACTTTTATGGTGATAGAGAACTGGGTTAGAATTACGCTGGTGCTCCAACAGCTGTGAAGATTCATTGGAACTCAGTTAAATAATTCACAAGGTAATTCCTAAGCCTTTTTGTTGCATCTGTAAATGAATTTGGCTAATGTGACAATAATTTGCTGTAACAACTGTTGATTCCCCCCTCCCTTCCCAAAGTTCTATTGAGCACATCTCCTTGGTTATGCCCTCATTGACAGGTGGTGGGACAACTGCTTAGTTGTTTTATATTTTGTATAGCATCAATAGAAGGTGAACCATCTTGGGTATTTTAAAGTCCTTTCTAGGCTTTGGTTAGAGACCCCTTGTTCGCTATAGCCCCTCAATGAGCGCTGTATGGGAACTAGATTGCATTGTGGACCACAATATGACCTCAAACTGAAAGGAATGGTATGCTCGGAAGGATCTCTTAATTTCATGGTGTGCAGAATATAATAAAGTCGGAGCAAATAAATAAGATATTGAGCAAGTTGCGAGGCGGTTTGGTTATGTGTGACAAGAGGATTAAAAAACCAAATGAGGGCATTACAAAGCTCAAAATAGAGAAGGATCAATATAGAGAATATGGTTTGATAATTAGGAAATATTCTTGGTTAGCATGCAGTAACAAATAAACATACATGCGATCTGCCAGGTAGTTAGGATTAAAGTCTTTGTTTGGCTAGGTAGATCTTCAGATTAAAAACATTTATCCTAGGAAATATTATATAATGTAGAAGGTTTTTTTGAATTAAACTCTAATGTCGAAGTTAGGTTTTGGTTTTTTACATGTTGTTAAGCAAAGAAAAGGGATGGGAGCATTGCTGAAAAGATTAAATATAATTGAAGCATAGCTCACCTCCAAGGCTTGTCTAAACTAATTAAATAGGCTCCAACTCTATTCAACTAAACTACCCAACTTGCAGTCCTGTCAACAGGTATCAAATCACTATCCTTCCAGGTTACAACCATATTTGTTCACTATAACTATGCATTCCCCAATTTTTTGGATCACAGACATATTTCGACATAAAAGTCATGTTTGCGTCACAGTATTTTGTTACAGAGGGCATTGGTTCTATATTGTTTCTTTCAATACATTTAGATTCCAAGTAGTAGGGGCCTGGTGGTGAATGAACTTGAAAGTTAGATATGATGAAATAATATTGCTTTTGTTTAATTTACTTACTCATAAGCTCTAAACGTGTTCCGCTTGATATGTTTCTCAGTTTTATAGCTCTGCGATATATCAGAATTTGTCTGAATTTGAAATAATGTTGCCCTTTTTAGTGGTTTTATTTATTTTTGGATGTATTTCATAATAATTTGATGAAACTATATGGAACCATATAGAAAGGAGTCTGTAATGTATTTTATGGGTTATGTTTAATAAGTCCTGGGCAACATTTATGAAACACATTCATAAAACTATCATTACATTGTACGTTTCTTGGATCAGAAATTAGTGGATTTGAAGAATTATTGTTTTAATGTATTCTCCAGATACCTATTCAATCGTAGATGCAGTTCTTAGACAATAACATTGCCATTACATTTCCTCACTACATATTTTCTTTTTTATTGGTTGCTTCTAGTTTTGGTCTATCAAAAAAGAATATAGAGGAGACACAGCTAGTAGAACAGTATGGAAGTAGATTCACCCAAAAATTGAGTAACAAAGTAAAGAACGGGAGAAATTCTAAATGAGATTTGTCCTTTCAACAAATCTAGAATGGAATATGATAACAAAATAAAAAAAACAACCCTCAACTTAGTCCTTGGGGCTCTGGGAGGAGTAGATTGGATACAAACCTATCCTTTGACACTATTTGGGTTGCCCAGTTGGAACCCATAACGTCAAGCTATAATTGCTAAGAAGGAAAGCAGATGTGGGAGAGGACGCAAGGGAGTAGGCATAAGTCAAGGTTTGAAATTCTATGGGGTACAATAAGTTAACTGGTATATGAAATTGAATTTGAGGGGAACTATTGGATCTTTTGCAGACTTAGTTTGAAATATTGTTTGTTTTTAATGTAGTGAGAACATCGTTACATTTATTCGAGTCCATGTCATTTACCCGTACCAACTAGGCGTTGACTTTTAGCTTGAAACATTTCAAAATATGCATGTTGAAACATAACTATCAAGGTCTGGAAAATGTTTAAGGGAACATAGCTTGAAAATTGATGTATTATTATCAGAGAAATAGTAACGCAAAAAAAAAATACTGCGCTAGATAGAAAGCCCAAAAATATATGAAAAATAAAGAAAAATTCTAAGACATGTAAATGTCATCATCCATACATTATAGCCCCAAATTACTTAAGTTAACCCATTAAACATAGTGAAAAGAAATTATGAGGGTGTTGCTAGAAATATTTATCATCACGCATACTTGTTTGAAAACATATTACGCTTTAAGTATATGTTACTATAAATAATTTGAACATACTATAACCTAATTTTAAACAAATTTAAAATCGAAACAACTATCATTTATAAATTTGATAAATCTATTAATGTCTGATTTAATAAAACTCTTGATTTTAGGAATTTTTGAAAAAATACAAAAAAATATTTTTGTCCATTTGATGTATATGTAATTACATATCGTATATAGTAATTATATAAAAATTACATATACAAAAAATTTTTAAAACAATTTCAATTGAAAGAGTTGTTCATTCCTAATTAGATTATACAATAAATAATAGGAAAAAAAGTAAGAAAGGGGAGATGAATAGAGAGAAAGAGAGCGAGCAAATTGAGATTGACCGTGCTTCAATCTCCAAGCCTAGGGTTTTTGCAAGCATTGATCAGGGTCTGTTGGAAAGAAGAAGAAGAAGAAGAAGAAGAAAAAGGCATTGTAGGCCGGTGGTTATCTGCTATAGTACTAGGTGCGCGATCCCCTTGTATTGTGATGAAGAAATGGAGATGGAGCAAGAGGCAGTTGGCCAGTTGGCCAGTTGCTTTGTTTTCTTTGTAGAGTTTTGATTGCTTTTTCCTGTTATGTTTGTCCTCTTTTTTTTTTTGTGGCCTTTTGTTTGTTGGTATTTCTAGTGGGTCTATATTCAACTACAACTCAACCGAATCGGTGAAGAGAGTTGATCCGAGCACCCACGTTGCACTGATTTTGCCAAGTTGTGTTCGATTCACGGCCGATTCAAGTGAGATCGTGGACCAAAGTGGATATGACTCGGGTTGATTCGAGTGAGAATCGTGGGCCAAGGTGGATACGATTCGGCCGATACTGTGAAACTTGGAAAGAAACATAAGGTAAAATAATCGGAAGAGTTCAAGGATTTTTGTTT